GTAATATTTTTTTTTCTTTTTCTTTTTTTTTTTTTTTTTTTGAGACAGAGTCTCACTCTATCACCCAGGCTGGACATTATCTCTTTGAGACAGAGTCTCACTCTGTCACCCAGGCTAGACATATCTCGGCTCCTCATAATATTTTCACTCAGGACTAAATGAAAAATAAATTAAGATAAATGGGCTGGGCCCGGTGGCTCACGCCTGTAATCCTAGCACTTTGGGAAGCCTAGGCGGGTGGATCACCTGAGACCAGCCTGGTCAACATGGTGAAACCTCGTCTCAACTAAAAATACAAATAAAATTAGCTAGGTGTGGTTGCAAGCACCTATAGTCCCAGCTACTTGGGGAGGCTGAGGCAGGATAATCGCTTGAACTGAGGAGTCAGAGGTTGCAGTGAGCCAAGATGGTGCCATTGCACTCCAGCCTGGGCGACAGAGGGAGGCTCTATCTCAGAAAAAAAAAGGATAAATGGATTTAGATTTTAATGTTTTGAAAAAACAAAATTTCCACATGAAATTTGTAATTATAAAAATGTTCCACAGCTGGGCGCAGAGGCAATGCACTCCCCTAGTCCCAGCTACGGGGGAGACTGAGGTGGGAGTATTCATTTGAGCCCAGCAGTTGGAGGCTGCAGTGAGCTGTAATTACACCACTGCGCTCCAGATTGGGTGGTGGAACAAGATCTTGTCCTCAAAACAGGTTGCCGAACATGTAGACACAGAAAAGCATAGGCTGAAGACCACTGGGAGGGGCAAAGTTAGAAGGATAGGCCGTGGAAATTGAGTATCTGCTGAGTGCCCTGTGAGTGGGGGACCGAGGACAGGCCGTGGAAATTGAGTATCTGCTGAGTGCCCTGTGAGTGGGGGACCGAGGACAGGCCGTGGAAATTGAGCATCTGCTGAGTGCCCTGTGAGTGGGGGACCGAGGACAGGCCGTGGAAATTGAGCATCTGCTGAGTGCTCTGTGAGTGGGGGACCGAGGACAGGCCGTGGAAATTGAGCATCTGCTGAGTGCTCTGTGAGGGGGGGACCGAGGATAGGCCTTGGAAATTGAGTATTTTCTGAGTACCCTGTGAGTGAGTGACCGAGGACAGGCCGTGGAAATTGAGTATTTTCTGAGTACCCTGTGAGTGAGTGACCAGACAGACCTGCTCGTGGTGTCTTGCTCAGTTGCAGCAGCTTTCACAAGTGGGTGGGGTTAGAAAGTTCTCTCTCCCAACCTTGTCAGAGTTGCTAAAACTGTGCATGACACCATGCCCAGTTCTGTCTGGCAACCCTTTTACGGAGCACTCATGGTGGGTGCTGTCTGCCCAAGCTTTCTTGACCAGGCTTCTCTGAAGGAATTTTCTGTTTGGAGGAAAGGAAACCTCTGGTTGTCACAGCCGATGATGGTTATAGAGGCCTTTCTCCCTATACCTGCTGAATGGTTTCCTGCACGTCTTTCCATGGCGGTTTCTAAGCACTGAAGCCAACACGGTAACGTTTGGCAGTGTGGTGTTGGGGTTCTTCCCTGTGGAGCCCAAGTACATGTTGCATCCACAGCAGAGGTGTTTACTATTACCAAGGGGTGAGTGGGTTTGGAATGGGTTCCCCCGTCGTCATTTTTGGAGACAGGGTCTTGATCTGCTGCCCAGGCTGAAGTGCAGTAATGCAGCCATAGCTCACTGTAGCCTTAAGCTTCTAGACTCAAGTGATCCTTCTGCCTTGGCCTCCCAGAGTGCTGGGATTGCACATGTGAACCACTGCGCCTGGCCACCATAGACCGAGGAATCAGTGGGTTTAGAATGGATTCCCTCTCTTTTCTAGAAGGAATGTTCTCCTTCTTGAGAGGAAGGTTTCTCCTTTGTGCTTCTCCAAATGCAACAACAGGATACGTGTGTGTGGTTAAGGTGGGAACGCTCAGGGCAATGATGTGCTCCAGGTGAGCAGGAGGGAAAGAGGTTGCCGAACCTTCTCTGCCAAATGCCCCTGTGAGCAAATCAGAGCCAATCAAAAGGGGGAAGCTGTTAGAGTCTCTCTTACCCAATTATCTCCAAAGGCGCCCAAAAAGAAAGGGAAGAAAGGCAAAGCCAAAGGCACTCCAGTTGTCGATGGACTCGCCCCAGAGGACATGAGCAAGGAGCAGGTGAGCAGAGCCGGCAGTGGCCCAGTCCCGGGGTGGGCGGGCGCCATGCAGGGTCAGGTGGGCAGAGACGGCTAAGGCCCAGTCCCGGCGTGGGTGGGCGCCACGCAAGGTCAGGTGAGCTGAGCCGGCTGTGGCCCAGTCCCGGGGTGGGTGGGCGCCACGCAGGGT